CGACAGTCGCGGCCCGACCGCAGGAGGAGTAGGTTGTAAGTGTGAGAGCCCTTGTGTGTCCCTAGTGAACTGGAAACCAGCTTAGTGCTGCATCATTGATATAGCAGCAAATTGACGGTATGGTCGCTGTTGCGCAAAAAAAGTACGAAGCTATTTAGGTAGCTACGAGCAAAAAATAAATTCGAATGATATTTGCTGCAACTGATGGGTATTTTTCAATTCGGCCATTGTGGACATGATAAGCTCAATGCCTCAATCAGCTGTGATGGCAATAATCATACGAGTTTTTTTTTATCTAACGCAGTCCGTTCAATAAAAAAGGCGTTCATTGCTCGGTGTTCTTCACTGCTTTATCATTCATTGTGTTCATATGCTTTCGTGAAATTCGACAACGACGTATTATTTACGTGTAAGCAAAAATAGAAATTGGGCGTTCATGACATGCCGTATCCCGTAAATGTGAATTAACCTAAGTACGTACCTAATCATTGTCGTTTTGATGGTTTATCTAGTCTACGCTCCTCTAATGATCCGACATCGGGTTTGGACGTCCTTTATTCCTATATTGATTCTTGAAATTTATTCTTTAATATTTCCGTGTTAGCCTATCTAGATGCTGTCTTTTCATTCTGATAATCGAATGATGTTGGTCGTGGCTTTAAGTTGCATTCTGATTTTTGTTTACTGACGACTTAGCAAATCTACTTAGGTATCATCTTTATGGTTGGTTCTCTGACTTGGCTGACACTGAAATTAATTTCTCCCAAGTTCAACAGTTAGGTACGCCTATACGCTCTGTCGGTACCTAGCTATTCGTAGAATGCCACTGAAGTAAATTAATTTTTTGTAATTTTTTATCTATTCATTCTACATGAATTATTATTGCAATAATTATTCTACGAGCATTCTTATCCGTGCTTGGGATCTGTGGGCCCGTGGGGAAGATGTCAGGCTATTTGGACTGTTATTTTGTTATATGTGGTCCTTTAATCAGTTCAAGATCTTAAAAACAGATATTGTATCTTTTTGAGAAACAAGTAGAAATGAGTAACTAAGTAGTAGCTACGTACGGACACTAAATTTTCTTAGTTTTCATCTTGCATTAAAAATCGATTGACTCCCCATGCTCATTAGCTTCCGGCACTCGGCTTGAAAGTTTCCGTTCAAAGATTGAAGAGGGGCTCTGCAGTCTGCTGTCCTACAGGTACAGGGTAGTCAGGTAGTGTGTAGTTAGTCACTTAGTAGGTTACTAGGTACGCACTACGCAGGGTAAATGTTCACCCATTATAGCTGATTCGTGGTTTCCTAAATAATATTGAGGTATCCGCGTTGGTATCGGGTATTATATTTTGTGTCTATTTTCAATTTGATCGTGACAAGAGAATAAATAAGTAGGTATATTTCTGCCCAAAATATCTGCCTGTTAGAGCTCTTCTTTCATCCAGCTATTCGTTCATATTTTCATTTATTTTTACTATTGTCACGTAATTTCCATTTTCAAGGGTATTTGGTTAGTGTAAAAATTTCAGCATTACCTCTTAAGTATTTCTAGAGAGTAAACACAAGCTAATAAAATGTTTAGAAGTAGGTACTACCGTACTACTACGTACTAGTTATTTATTCTCAGTTCCTCGTGCTCTCTATCAAATACCTCTGCTGGGCTCAATGGGCGATTTCCTGCCTAGAGTTTGTTAACCCAACTGCCAATATTGGTTCCACGAGGATGAAAAAGTTCAGACTAAACTTTACTTTCCTCTTCGTCTTCACTATTGTGCAGCTCCAAGTAAAGTCTTGTTATACTAATCTAATAATTTGAAATGTATTGAGAGAAAATGGTGTTTGATTAAGGTTTTCAAAACGTGTCAGAAGTGATCAAGTCCTTTCAATTCTACATGATTTAGCCATTCTACTCCAAGCTCATCCGTTATCATTATTCCGATGAATATCATCTATGCATTACAGTTAACCCGAAAAGCTCCCTTGCTATTGTGGCAAGATCTAAAAAAACTATTCAGCGCACAATAGATGCATTTGTGATGGATTTTAGCTTGTATCTATGTTCTGTAGATAAATGTTCTGCAGGACAAATTCTGAAACGTTTTTCATCCTAAGTCACGCGCAACAGAACTAAGTTTATTAAATCCAATTTGCTGTAGGCGTGCTGCGAATTTCGTTTTGCATCTAGCTGTCGCAAATCTCGTGCCTTCCAACATTATTTCCTCTCAATCTTCAGTTTAAATTCGCATTCTAGGCTGGCAGAATGTCCGAAACAAAGAAATACGCGCAGCTCTGCAGATTAAAGCAGTTCCGGCGGCCCAGGACGGAGATGGGCAGAAAATTGCTTTTCGGGGCTAGTTTGCCCGAGCGCAGAAGCCGATGAGAAATCCTTAGTGAAGGCAGCGCTGTCGAAATATTTCCTGGCATGGGAAGCCTGTCCGAAATCAGGCGTCTGTTCACTCTGACGAGCTTTATTTTACAAACTATGAAATGATAGTTATTTTGAGAACATAGCCATCATTACTGTACAGCAAACTTCAAAACACATTATAAAATAATTTTCCCTGTAGGTATTATGTTTCTAACAACTATCCATGAGCAAATCTCGCTAACTATATACTTTATAGCTCCACTAACAGGTATGAGCATGGATTTAGCTAAATTAGACTTGGATATTTTTATCGTACTTTAAACTCACACTTCGAACTTTATTGCTTCTTCGTACTTTCGTCTCGTTCTTTGAACTTTAGAATCGTATTTCGTTTTTGTCTCGTTCTTTATCTGTGTGAACCAGTCTATGCTCTCATTTGCCATGCATTACGAGTCAGTTGGAGCTGCTATCTTGTGCACTGAGCCTCTGTAACGTCCAGGATCAGTTAGAGGATCGTAATTGAGACGCAGTGATGACTAGACACAAACATTTCCCGCTCCCGTGGCATCATCTCGAGTGTTAGGTTAGGTTAGCATCTCGCCCTACAGCTCCCGCAGAAGGTGATGACGTGTCTGGCTTGTCTTGATGCCTACGTTGTTGAATTTATGACCTCATAGTAGTATAGTTCTTGATTATCCGACAAGAAATTCTGAATTTCGACGTACCTACAGCAAACTGGTGCCCAGCAGTTTTTTTTACTCAATTGCCAATTCGTTAAGTTGTTTTAGACTTACACTTGCAAGCATCGTCACCTGCTATTTAGTTACAGCTAAGTATATACTCGTGTTGGTACACAATCATGAATTGACTGTTCAAGTTTTGAAACTTATATGGATCAGGAAATACTGAGTTGCTGTAAAGGCTTGCCATTTTTTTTTTTGTCTTGTGCGAGGAAGTAATTGTGAAAACTGATTGCATGAATTTTTTTTTTTCAATTCTTTGACAAATTTAGACACAGTTCTTTACAAAATTTTTTTACCTTGAGCTGCAGTGACTGCCTCTGTGAATTCGGCCATACCTTTAAGCTTTTAGGCTCAGAATGCCGAAATTCTTGATCAGATGCAAAGAAATACCTAAAGGGACCTCCTTAGTTTTCCGGAAGGATCGAGCAGCTCATAATGCAATTTAAATAACACATCATAAATAGCTGTTGGTTTACTCCTGAGTCCTAAGTCCTAACACGAATCGTGAAACCTCTCTGTCTTGGGGAAGACGCACTTGGCCATGATCTGCCAAAAGAGTATTATTACGTTAAATACGTTAAATTGAAAACGGTAAATTTCAAGCAGCTATTGAGTATAAATTATCCATCCATGTAATTGCTGTTGTGAAAAGTTAATGTCCCAGAGAGCTCATGACGAAGATCATTTGACAAATCGCTCCGGTCAGAATTATTTCTTATGGGCTAAGTTCGAATAAGCAAATTTCGTGAGTTCGTCTCTGTAATCAATACCGTATTAAAACGTAGCTTTCTGAACACATTCTATATATATATATATATATGCAAGATAGGTTATAACAACTCTAAAGGCGCTTTTTGGTCCGTAAATTAAGATATATCACCCTATTTTCAATTTATTTATAGTTAAGATTAGTTTTTGGAGGAAACTTGATGCTGATATAAGAATTTGTAGGAGGGTTTGTCAATGATGGAGTTACCGATATTTTCATTTTCGTATTCAGTACCGTACGTCACTTAATATCTTTGACAGAGTGAATGTTCAGTGTTAACGACTGTGGGAACGGCTCAGTGGTTTCCTAACTCCATTGCAAATTCAATGCTATTTTGCTGCCAATATTTAAACTGCAATGCAATGTTACAGTTTAATTTAATTTGTCAGATTTATGCATGTGATTAAAAAAACATTTTATTGCGTGCATTGAAACGCGAAAATTTTTCCCGACTTAGCATGCATCTTGCTCATCCTCTTGGGCATCATTATCAGCATCTCGATCAGCATCTCAATGAAAGAAGGTCTGATGTTAAAATGCTCCTAGCCACACTTTCTATTGTTGTTAGAGCAATCTTTTCCGTGTTCTTTGGAACAAAGCTTCCATTAGAGACTTCCGGGAGTCGGAAATGACTCTTTCTGTTTCTTGCTTGTATTGCAGCGATAAAGCTAGAAGTAATGCAGCGTGATTATCTGAGAATTTGCCCAGGTTTGTGCGTGCGCAAAATATTGCTCTTTACGCCTCATTCTCACCGAGGTTTACGAGATCACTGCCGGGGCTTTACGTAGGTCGGTCGTGTGGGAGCGCAATGTTAGCGTGGTTATTGTGATTACTTTTATTGTGTTACGAATATTGTTTATCATGAACCCTGTGTCTATACTACTAACGATTTATTTATACGCTCTAAGCAAGTATTTACCGCTAATATTGAAGACTATCAATGTATCCACTGACAGAGGTTACGGGTGCACCGGGCGAAGAAAAGCGGATATTTTTTTATCTTCTGTGTGATCTATGTGCCATGATTTATCATCTATTTTATACCATGATTTATTTGTTATGTCAAAGGGTGACGCCTGAATGATGCTTGTGCTTGCTTGCCTATTCCAGATTAATTCAGCTTCTTGTAAAATCAGTGACAGTACAATGAAATTCATCGTCTTGGGACTGTGAAGAAATGAAAATTGTTATTGGCCACTTGCTTGGCCTAGCTCGCCTATAAGATTTCATATGCCTGTAGTTATGAGAGATTTAAATGAAACTGTGTGTTTAACTGGAAAATTACCTCAAAAATTGTTACCTACCCTAAATTGTTCGTATAGTGGCATTCAACTCCTCAGGAAATAAACTGGTATAAAATTTGACCTTCATGTAATGGAGAATCAAAGTGAATGAATATCATTATTATGGACTGGCTGCATGGTAACTTGGATACCAAACAATGATTCCTGTAATTGCCGTTACGCTCTCCCGACGTTCTGGGTTTTGAGTGTCAATAAATACACCGCAGTTAACCTGCAAGAACCTGCCCAAATTATCGACATGAAATTCTGTACGATCTTGTTGACGATTCAGGTTGTCGGCTGCGCAGCTACGGCCATCAACGCCCTGACAGGTGAGACATTTGTGGCTGGAAGTGGATCTAAATTTCTTTTAATGAAATGACCATTTTTATGACAACATAATCCTTAAACATAACATTATTCATCACTTATGGCTCTATTAGAGCACTCCAAGCAAATAATTTATTCCGTATTTGTTTTTATTATGGTTAAAAATAAGAGATTTAAATTGTATTTTAATATTTGTATCTGAAGAACTGTTCAGACCAGGAGACCGCATAACATCTTAATTAAAATTAAGAAATTAAATTCTTAATTAAAATTAAACCTATCACTTATAGATGGTAGGATGAATGCTGCAAACTACCAGAGCATCCTGGAAAATAATTTGACGACTTCTGTTTTCGAGTAAAATTATTTTTCCGGCTTAGTGCAGGATAAGCAAGTCGAGTTTTTGCATGAAATTATTTCTTGGTGACCTATTTTACCGTTTTTTGTTGATTTATTCATTTAAATTAGAGTATTATCTTCTCATTTCAAACTTACATTAAATTTGATATATTTTACATTTTTTATGTTTCCAAAACAGTTTATATTAATCTGCGAATTAAATTGTTACCTGCACTTCTCTTGAGGTTGCATTTGAATTAATTATTTTCATTGGTTTGCAGATGGAAGCAGATGCATTTCCAACTGCAGTGCCTTGAATATAAAATCGACGAAAGATGTGAAAATTAACGCCTCCTTCATCGAGGTGCCCTCCTACATCAGTCGTTACCGTCACCTGGAGTTTAAGAACAACTGGGCGCAAATTATAAGAAGCAGGCGCCCCCACAACTTGTCTGCGATGGACGCCGCGGCAGAGACCTCAAGTTCCAACTCGAGGATAAGCAAATGGACGCGTCGACCGCTGCGGACGAAACGCTATCGTGACCACCCGGCCCGCGATATTGGCCGTCGAGATCACTGCCGGGGCTTTACGTAGGTCGGTCGTGTGGGAGCGCAATGTTAGCGTGGTTATTGTGATTACTTTTATTGTGTTACGAATATTGTAATTTTCTTTGAGAATTGCTCAAGAATGTGATTAAATACATTTAACAATTGTATTGTTAACGGATTCTAAATATGTGTAGATCAAATGTGTTAGATCATTTAATTTTTGTTTCGACGATCAATGAGCTAAAGTTGTATAATTTCAATGTACTTGAGCGTCGTTTCATGAAAAATTACTTGTGCTCAATAATCTCTCATATAAAAATTTTTGATATCATTAGTCACCTTGAATCGAATTGATTGATCATTAGTCAGCTTGAATCTTGAATCGGAAGCTTTGAATTCAGCATGATTTTTAAAGCAGAGAAAATGTTTCGGAGACCAGCTCATCATCAGTTTAAAAAATATAAAGAATGTAAGCACAATATGATCAGAACATCGAAAGATACACGAACGAGATTAAGATTTGAAAGAAAGATACCGTAACCTTAAAACCTATCCATTTACAATAATTACAAGAGTATAAAAGGTTGGGCATTTTCGACTGGGCTACGATAACGATTACGATCCATAGAATCGGAAAATTTTAAATTTTGACTTTGATTAGGTTATTAATATTTTTACCTATATATAAATATTACCGTATTATATATCAATAATATATATATATATAAATAAAATATATATTCATTAAATTATATAAAATTCCGTTGCGTATATTTTAACATAAGGGACGCAATGGATCTTTTATCGCGAACCGCGTGCTATGCTATGCGGGAAGACAAAATAGTTTCCTGCAAAAATTTAATGTCTTTGATGTTACGGGAAACGGAAATGCCGTCTTTGCTATATTGTTTTATACGGCGTGCGGATAAGGAAAATGTATAACTTAGTGCTCACTGAAGTGAGTGACAGAGCGCGCATTTTCTCGTCGACGAAAACGTGAAGTCACGGACAGACAGACGGACGGACATGGCGAGCCCAATAGCGCCTTTTTTCAATAAATGAGAAAATGCTCTGAAAATGGAATGTTAGGAAATTATCCATGAATATAGCAAACGTCTATAATTTATGGTTTGGAGGACAAATCACGTAAAGTTATTAGCTCGAGACGCTTTCGTCAGGTGGAGTCACCTGTCTAGCTAGTAAGAGATTTTCACTATTTGCTCAACATTCAACTCTCAAATGTTGTGGCGTACAACCGCAGATGGATAGCACTGAGGCATTTTAATGACGCAGACGCTTGACTAGGGGGACTTAGGAACCCTGATTTGTGCATCTAGTTTATCCATATAGAGTGATTTCTTATTTTACTAATGTTTCCTGCACGTGATTAATTATTTATCTTGCTAATACTAATGTTTATTATTTTGCTAATGTTTCCTGCGCGATTTATTCTAAGAATAATGGGAGATTGAATTTTTCCATGCGATATTGTGCCAATTTATCGTTAAACTATTGTAATGTGCATTTGTTCAGCTATAGGTGTCCGCAAAAGTTATTGTTTAAATTTTATATAAGTCTCCTACAGGAAACATTTTAGTTCTGATGATAATACCGAATTAGGTTGGCCTTATATAAGCGAAATATTTATTATTATCAATTGTTTTATTATATTCGTTATAAATAACATATTGTCAATATATTTGGGTGAATAAAGTTAGATGTGGATTTTGATAGGCAATGTGCTTCTATGTCGGAAATTGTTGATCGGGAAACTCCCCAACAAGGTGATGCTCACCCACAAAGGATTTTAATTAATATCATGAACCCTGTGTCTATACTACTAACGATTTATTTATACGCTCTAAGCAAGTATTTACCGCTAATATTGAAGACTATCAATGTATCCACTGTCTTAAATAATCTGCAAGATTCTCGACCTTCTCAACGATTTCCAAATTAAACTATGTACCTACAGACGATTTTTCTTCTTCACATTTCGATTGATTTGGTGCTGGATTTGGCAACACAAGCATGAAATCGCAATAATCTTGATAAGATTTTGTTGCTTTTTTTTTTGGAGCAATCCTCGTTTAATCTTGTATCAAACCCCGTTTTATTTGAAGAACGTTATAGCTTTACGTATTTGACGCTAACTTTGGACACAAGTTACGTTCAGGCGACATTCCGTTCGGAATGCGCGGTTAGTCTCCTCCAAATTAGTGACCCTAATATTTTCATTTTTATTGAAGATTATGTCTGTCTTTACTAGAATTATTTACATGCGCTGAGACCATGAAGAACCAAAATTAAAAAAAAACCTTTAGTGATCAACTATGTGGAACAGAAAAATGAAGCTGGGAGCGAAAAACTTACCTGTTTTACCATGAAATTTTCAAAGTGCGATTTTATGGCTATAGGTTTTTAAATTACTGGGTGAGGATAGGAACGAATCCTGCACATTGAATTGTTATATGTGTTTTTTCCGTCATGTCACATGACGGGATATCAAGTCCCGCAGTGATATGTGATGTCCGCCACATTCATTGTCAGTCCGCCACATTCATTGACAGTCTGCCACATTCATTGACATTATGACAGGGCCACAAGTCCCGTCATGATTTTGTGATGTCTGCCTCATTCATTGTTTGGGTTCTAAATAATTGCCCTGTTCATGATTGGCTTTAAAGCCAATCATGAACAGGGCAATTAAAAACAGGGCAATTAATTATTCGATATATTAATAATTATAATAACAATTATCCAGACCGTATTTTACAACTGAATTACGACTGATAGGAAATGCATCTGATCATACCAGCGGTCACAGTTTAACTGCAATTTTAACTCGCTACAATTGTATACATCAATCGTGCAAGTTATACTTTAGCCGCGCCTATTTAAAGCAGCTAACAAACTTGAATAGATTGCCACTAAATGAACGAATTTTTCACTTCAACGATTCGCATTGTTTGAGGCTTCGCTTCATTACTTCAACAAATAATTACTTTTATTATTGCCAGTATCTGCAGTCACTGATTGCCGGAGTTTGGACTTTTGCTGCAGAAAATAAAGTAATTAATAGAGTGATATATATGCGTGGAAATAACGAAACCCTTCATTTTAATTACGAAAATTTGATGCGATGCGCTGGAGCAACGACCTGCATGGCTTACATTTACTTGCGCATGGTTTTATGTTATGAAGAATTTTTTTCTTTAAATATTGTTATTTATTGGAATTTACCAAAAATTACTACTTACTTAATGCGTGTTCACGGAAATGACGGTTTTATGATGAATCGAATCGGCCACTTAGTCATCCTATAACCATAATATGTCCCCATTTCTATGTATAGCGTAAAAATCTCACGTACTCGATTGACTACGAACTTCATCCGTTGGGATATGTCAAGTCCAATTGCAAAACTCACACCTCATTCTGCGTGAGATTGAAATGGATAGCTGGACAGCTATAAAAACGAATTTTCAATCCAGGTCTCCAGGCCGCGGAACATGGAGGTCGAGTTTTTCAGTAACATCGTAGCCCTGCCGCAGTTATGGCGCGCTGTCGACATTTAGGTCGCTCCGTAAAGAACAACATGTAATGTTTCCACTACCTTTTCTGGTCTTGCTTCCTCCCTACATATTTTGTCTTTAATGTGCTACAAAGTTTATAAAGTGGAATACCTTTGATGCATACGAAGATTAATTTTAAAATCCCATTGATCAACAAGGCCGTGCGTGATAATTGTTTGTCTTCATTCCCTCACCTCCAAACATTGTTAATAGTGTTTGAAACTAAAATTCGTCGAAGATTGCACGCCACGAAGATTATTCTTACAATAATATAGACACTCGTAAGGTCATCAATTGCCGTAAAGAGTGTCATCAATAACGCTCCCATGCACCATTACCATTATACAACTGATTCATACTACACTATTATATTATTGTTATACAACTGTTATGGTTCCCACCATTACTATTATACAACTGATTCATAATGTTCATTGCTCATGTTGCATCAAATCGCTCTGTATTGCGCCTATGATATAAAAGGTCACCGATCCCATGTTGTCAAGACTTTCCAATTAAATTTTATTAACCAGGTTTCCGGATTTCGAAATACTGACTTAAGTATTGATTTATAAATTTATGCACATTATTATTTGTTTTTACTGCCTAATGGATAAGTTGCTCGAACTATTTGTTACTAATAAGCTCATGAATACGCTACCATTCCACAATCACTAATGTTACTGAAGAATTTAGCCATATGAATTATGCCATAGCATAATGTGAATTTAGCCATACCTCCAAAATTCACACGAGGTTGAAGCTGCTTTACAATTGTATTATATAGAGCAAAGATGTACATGGAGAGAAGATGCACTATGCTCTGGATAATCATACAGAATCTTAGGATTCAATTTATTGTTCCTGCATTAAAATCAAGATTAATCCTAGCTTGATGATTCTTTTTACGGCGCAACTGTTAGGATCTTTTTTCGCCATCATTTTAATTATATATAAACATGATTTTTCTTGAATTTTGACTTTGAAAGCGAAAAATTAATTGCTTCGAGTGCATATATATTGACCGATTCAGCTACATGATGTCGAGGTACAATTTCTGCTACCTTTAGTTTCGGGGAATTTGCGATTGAATTTTTTGCGATTTGACATTTTTTTCTAAAATATCTAACAGTTGAATAAATATCGACTTGGCAATCCTGAATATTCGTCTCTCTTGCATTCGGCTAAACGCTTTTATCCTATAACAATCGGGTTCTCAATTGAAAGCCGGATTGTAATGGACTAGCCATGCGCATGCGAGCGAGGTGCTTGGGTGTTAGCTTTCTTAATTGGCCATGCTGGTTTGAGCGCTACAGGTCAAATTTTCTTTCATTCCGTTTTTCGGTAATTTAAAATATGGATTTTTTTCAGTTCCGGAAAAGAAAGTTCGATGGGTGAAAGGAAAAAATGTGGCATTTTACTCGAGTCCAAGCGATGAATCTCGAACAAATTTACGATGAGACTTAGACTT